GGATTGAGACTGTTTTTTACCTGTGTTGAGGATGGTAGAGACAGTCTAGGGTGGGAAGTTCAAGTCTCTACCATTCTTTGCTGGTCCATCACCACTCTTATTATGCCTTATTACATCACAACAAGCTGCTCCTAGGGGGCAGCACAAGAGGGACTATCACTAGGGCATTTAGGAATAATTGAATAACACATGAAGTAAGGAAGAACAAAAACACAAGAAGTCAGAGACACATGGTAAGTGTAAACAAAGAGCAAAGATGTCGGGATTGTGTCAAAGGCAGTGCACAGAGCCCCTCATGGCAAGAATTTGTATCACGCCACCACCCACCAATTTCAAGAGCTCTGCCGCTCCTCTCCCAATTGTCGGATCTCCGGGGTATCAACGAAACTTTGGGGGGTATTCCCCTTAAATGTAATCACCAGTTATGTGAAGCAGCGGTTATTGGGGCATCAGTTTTCGAGGTATTCCTGTATTGTACACAAGGGTTGTATATCACCACCACTATCATTCTAATCCTGCTTGTTTATTGGCTAACTATAGTACCTTTCAGGCATATAACTCAATAAATGTCGGTTTGTCAGGGGTGTGAAGTGGTGGTATTAACGTCATCATCATGTGAGCTGTGTTGTCACATTTTTTATAACAGTCAACCCTCGCTTTACGCGGTCCCACTTTACGCGTTTCCACGTTTACGCGGTACCCTGCCGAACACGGAATGCTCACTTTCCGCGGTGTGTGTACCCTTTTACGCGGAGAGCGGCACGAGCAGGGTGCACACAAGGTCGCCCAGTCATCAAAACATTACCGAGATCTTCACCCGCCACCCACCACAGCCGGCCCAAGTCAGTGATAGTGATAATGATAGTGAGGATATGGAGTTATATGGACTTTGAGGGGTTTGACAAAGAGGCCCTGCAAGCCTCTGTGGTGGATAGTGATACAATTGATACTAGTGATACAGGTGAGGGCCAATAATCTGCCCTCTGCCTCAGAACCAACCCCCCATCCCCGTGTGCCCAGCCATCTTTTCTACTAATGTAAGTGTTAAAAAACCTAATATTATTGATATTTCTCTTAATTATTAATTGTGTGTGCATACCATCACAAAATTAAGAAGTTATTTTTACTACAACGTACGTATTGTGTCTGAAAAAGTGGAGTTTGGGGGTCGGCCCATTCTCTATTTCAATTAATCCCATATATTATGTTGTTCACTTTACGCGTTTCTCACTTTACGCGGGCCGCCGTGGGTTCAATTGACCACGTAAAGTGAGGGTTCACTGTACATTTATTCACATCTACCAAATAACTCAATAAAATAGTGCAATTAAAAACTTGAATTGATGATAAAAATGATATGTGCATAACTAATGTTAATTTGCCAAACCAACCTTTATAAAGCAATCTATTACATTAAAGTGTGTTTGGTTTTGAGCTGAACAGATGACTGCCCTCTGTTTGGCCGAGTGGCGGGTAACATCAGCGCACGGAATGTAAGGTGGCCAAACTCCTATACAGTGGCCACTCGGTTAACTAACACAATTTGTTCCACAGAGTCGTTCGTTAACCGAATCCATTATTTCAATGGGATATTGGGTAATTGGTTCCAGCTCACAGAAAAGTACATACAAAGTCAAGCCAAAAATGCATAAAGTTAGAAACACTCCTAAAATTCCCCTAAATCGCCCTTAAATCACTATATATACTCTTACTCTTAAATCACTACTGTAATGTGATACAGGTGATTAATTTTTATCTCCTGTGCAAAATGTATGACGTTTATATTCAAATTATTCGCTGTCTTGCAAGCATTCCAGCAATGCAAATTATACTCTCCTAACTTTAGTCTGATACTATATAAGATAAAAACTTACAGCCTACTGTATAACCACTAAACCCTGGCTGGGAGGGGGAAGGAGGGGGGGAGGAAGGGAGGTGACAGTGACATGTTTGACAGTTGGCCCCAAATGTCTAGTGGAGTATTTATTTGTTTATTTATGTCCTATAGATCGAGTTTTTGTTTTTTGTTTATAAAATGTCATAGAAGTGACCAGGGAGAATATAATTTACATTGCTAGAGTTCTTATAAGATAGTGACTAAATTTTAGTAATCATTTTGTACCTTATTTTGATTGCCGTATTTTTCGGCTTGAAAGACGCTGCACCGTGGAAAACGCACCCTGATTTTGGAAATGAAATTCTAAAAAAAAAAATTACGGGTTTTAGCCCACCTGGGCACAGGTCACTGACCCACATTGGGGCCTAGGGGACGAAAATGTAATAATAATAATAATAATAATAATAATAATAATAATAATAATAATAATAATAATAATAAAAAAGAAATACAAAAATGAAATCAAAATATCAAGAGTGAGAAACAATAGAGTACCTGTATGTATGTTGTGTTGTCAAAGTAAGAGAAACAATTGAGACCCTGCAGAAAGTCAGATCATCAGCCTGGGACTTGGTCACATAGCCGCAGGGTCTACCATTAGACAATACATTATGCTTTCAATATCTTCCCAAATGGTAGTACCTTCTTGTTTGGTACATTAGCTGCCTACTACCTACACCAGTGAAACCGTTGCTTGATATACAGCCCTTTTGGCACAAGTACACACACCTCTTTGAATATCATCACTTAGAACTGCTTATCAGTCGTCATTTTCTTCAATTTAAAAAAAAATCTGTATAAGAAGGTGAAATCTTTAATACAGCACTCATTTTATACACCTGGTCACCTCCACATCTTAGGGGCTGTAGTGTTTACATTCTTTCTCTTGTTTTTGCCTATGTGACAACGACGGGAAATATTTTCCAACAGTAGAAGGTAAGCAAATGTAAACATGTATATCAACGTCTATGTAAAACAAAATCTTTATTTAAAAACAAAATAAAAGTAAAAAAAAACTCGTTTTTTGCAAAACCAGTGACTGATTGGTTCTACATAATTATAAAACTGAAGAAAATAAGTCCTCCATTGTAGCTGTATTAAAATTAATGTAGAAAAATTAATATGGTTGTTTTAAGTAATGTTATTTAATGTTAATAAATGGAACAATGGAAGAAGCTAACAATTAAGGGTAAAAAAAAAGTGAGATCACGTATGTAAGTGAGCACGTGTAAACATATCGTCATTACTCTACATAAGAATATGAAAGCAACACTTATTTATTGTTCATATATGTTTAAATTAATGTTTCTGAATTTCTTTTTGATTGAATTATTGTTTATGTGTGCAAATTGAACAATACAATTTATTAATAATACGAAGAATATTAAAACACACGAGGAGACAAGACGTCATTGTTTTTGTTGTTTACAAAACCAGTGACCGATTGGTTCTACAAATAAAACTGAAGAAAATAAGACCCTGGTTGTAGCTGTAGTAAAATTAGTATGGTTGTTTAAAGTAATGTTATTTAATGTTAATAAATGGAACAATGGAAATAGATAACAATTAAGGGTAAAAAAAAAGTGAGATCACGTATGTAAGTGAGCACATGTGTAAACATATCATCATTACTCTACATAAGAATATGAAAGCAACACTTATTTATTGTTCATATATATTTTAATTAATGTTCCTGAATTAAAAAACAAAATTCTACCCACCAGTGGTAGTATAGTTGAAAACATAAGGACAGCCAATGTTGTTGTGTTTGTGTTTTGACTTGGATGACGAAGTTGTATTTAAATTTGGAAGATTTTAATTTTGTGGGGTTTTTACAGTCTAAATGGGTATCCAAATATGAGAGCCTACTGTAAATAGGTGTCCAAATATGACAGCCTACATATAAAGAAACAAACATTCCTGCATTTGAGACCAGCAGACAACCTTTAGCAGTTCCTCAATAGATGGCGCTGCCGCACCACTGCCATGAGTAAACAAACCACACAGCAAGAAGGGTTTATTATTATTTTTTTTTTGCAATATATCAACAATATTAGTTAAATCAATACTTTTATAGAACTGTATAGAGAATACTTGTAATTGTTAAGTACTGTAATGAGGTAACAGTCTTTGTAAGGGGCTGATTTCAAAAACCTCCGCTACAACTCATCGACTAGTGTCCTGGAAGACCTGGAAGACACATGGTAATTTTCAAGGTATATTTTTGTCATAAAAAGTGCGTCTTTTAAGCCGAAAAATACGGTACATGTACAGTACAGCTTTGCCCTTAGGACAGTGTGTGCATGTAAATGAGTTTCAATAAATGAATAAAGTTACATATATCGAGCCAAAAATATTAGTTGTAAAACTTTATGTAGACAAGAGCTTGGATGGTTAAATTTTAGAATGACCAATAATTTTAATATAAAAAATGCAAAAATATTCAAGAACACAACTTTCTTGATATTTATTCCACTGGAAACGAATGTAAACAAAGAAGAGATTACTGTATTGGCGGACTAGCCGATCAGCTGATGCTCACAACAAAACGTGTTTGTTGTAAGGATTTCGTTAATCGAAGTTTTGTTCGTTAACCGAATTGAAGATTTTTATGGGAGCTAATTTGTTAACCAAAATTTTGTTAATCGAACCGTTCGTTAACCGAGGGACTACTGTATTGTGAGAGCTAATGTGACTATTGTGATAAGGTGGTGATTCTTGTAGTTCCTGTTGAGTGTGCACATATTATGTTAAAACTGCAATAAGTAAGAATAAGACATCAAATAAAACACTATAAAATCATGAAGATCTCTTGGAGAGCCTCAGGATGCACAAACATGATGTTAGAAAATATCATATCCAAAAAAAAAAGAAGAGGAGGAGGGGGGATAGAGGAGAAGGAGAAACAGAGGAGAAGGAAGAATGGAGAAGGAATGAAGGAGAAGGAAGAACAGGGGAGGAATGGTGGAGGAAACCAATATGTCTCCCAGATAATGGAAATACAGGAGACCAATATGTCTCCCATATGATGGAGACACAAGGGAGGAGGAAGGAAGGAGACCAATATGCCTTCCAGAGGCTGGATACACAGTAACTCACTTACCTTGGTAAACGATGTCTTGGGCATGGTACAAAGTGGAACAACTGAGGAACAGAATAAAGGAAATTGAAGATCTGTGGCAGGAAAAACAATAATACTGTTTTGCTAAAATGGCCAATGATTGCCACCACAGCAAAGGTCATCCCCGCAAAGTACGTAAATGTGTCCCCAACAAAGGCTCTTGCAGGATACCTGTTCCAGGGGTAGAGAAAAAAAAAATTTAAGCATTTAATGAATGAATCTATCAGTGGCCTGTTAAAATGTTATTTAATTTTACGTTTGGTAGCAAGACCCATGCAAATACAGTACAGTACATAAAATTTTGCTGAGCATAGGATAAAAAGATTGTCAAGTTATTTTCAAAATTCAGGGTAACCTGTTGGTTTAAATATTTTGTTGATACAGTACTGTACTCATATTTTTGGATATATATATATATACAGTATAGTCTGGGTTTACGCGGATATTTTATACAAGGACGGCCATTTACGCGGCACCTGTCCAGAAGCGGTAATTATTATTTACGCAGTAAATGCCATCATATACGCGGCAAGCGGTGGGGCAAGTGCTGGGCGCTGACGTCATCACTGATGTCGCGGACTGTAATTGGACCACGTATCCTTACCACCCACGCACCCCCTCCGCCGAGCGCTGTGATTGATCTATTTAACCTTGCCACCCCTGCCACCCTCGCTCTCAACCATCGCCGCACCACTCTGACTGTCCCCGCCAATATTCACTCATGCCCAGGAACCGTTTTTTTTTCTTTCTACACAATGGCTTCCGCTGGACCCCCATCACCCCCGTGAAGCCCTGAACTACCTGGCCCAAGCCGCCCCAAGCCCAAGAAGGTGCGACGCGCCTTAAGCTATGAGGTTAAGTACAAGATCGTTCAGGAGTTAGAAAAAGGCAAAAGGCAGGTGGATCTGGCCAGACAATATGGAGTGAATGAATCGACGATCAGCACGATCAAAAAGAATGTAGGCAAAATCAATGAATGCATGAACATTACTAATTCTGCAGGTGCCTCGATGGTGAAATATTGCCACAATAAGGTGCTGCTGAAGACCGAGAGTTTGTTGGTAAGCTACATTATTCGTCAATCAAGAAGGAACATGGCGGTCGACACTCGGGCACTGCAGGACAACGCCCGAGAACTCTATGCAGCAGTAGCAAGAAAAATGGGGGTTGCAGAGCCCAAGCCCTTCAGTGCTTACGCTGGGTGGCTGCAAGGTTTTAAACGATGCAACAAGATCACGAATATTGAGATAGTCGAAGAAGGAGCAAGTGCCGATCGGGCTGCCGCCATGAATTTTCCCCCATTTTTACGGAAAATTATGGAGGAAGGACAGTACACCGACGACCAAGTGTTCAATATGGATGAATCAGGGTTGTACCGGAAGAAATTTCCATCCAAGACCTTCGTAGTCAAGTATGCTAGCAAGTGTCAGGGGCGCAAAACGCAGAAGGAGCGCATCACCTTACTGTTCACCACCAATGCTTCCGGCACTGCTAAGCTGAAGTTGTCTGTGATCCACAAAGCCCGCAAGCTGCATGCCTACAAGAATATGGACATGAGCAAGTTAAATGTCCACTGGCTAACCTTATGGAAAGCATGGATGTTCTCTGGTCTGTCCCTCTCCTGGTTTGACAACTGTCTCGTTCCTGGTATCAAGAAACTCTGCGTGGAAAATAATGTGCATTCAACATTTTGTTGCTCCTCGACAACGCACCAGGACACTCGCCCCTTTTGCTGGATCGTCACCCCAATGTAAATGTGGTCTTCCTTCCCGCTAACACTACGTCGTTAATCCAGCCCATGGATCAGAAGTTGATTTGCAACGTGAAGGCTGCTTTCTCCGCCAAGAAGTTTCGGCTCCTGACCGACCTCACCAACACCAAGGGTGAACTGCAGAACCTAGGGAGTGGCACCGATAGCGAGAGAGAGAAAGAGGAACACGAACAAGATTTGGCGGACAATGAAGTGCGGGTCAAGCAGTTCTGGAAGCTGTTTAACGTGAAAAAGGCTGTTGATTTCTTGGTGGAGGCATGGGGGCAGCTATCTGTGGCAACGATTCAGCAAGCGTGGCGGCATGTGTTGGAGGGCATCCCTGGTGGGAGGCAGAGGCAAACCGTGGCTGGCGAGGCTCAGTCTGGTGCTGTGGCATTGGAGAATGCAAGAGAGGCTGCACAAACTGTTAAAGCTGCAGGCTTCTCCGAGACCACCAACGAGGACATCCTGGAGGTAATCAGGCAACCTGAAGTGTCTGCGGTCGAGATGTTGGAAGATGATGACATCAGTGAGCAGCAAGGTGTTACAGAACAACAAGAGCAGAACTAACACATGCTGATGTGAAGGAGGACATCGAGTTAGCTGAGAGAATTAAGTTCATCCTTGCCAAAGACACGGGCAATCATCGCAATGAAGTGTCTAATAACCTTCTGTTGCAATCCCTGGAGCCCAATATTCAGCAGTATCACGACCACATCAATGCTAGCCATCAACAAAATATCACCAAGTTCTTCACCTGCCACCCACCACAGCCAGCCCAAGTCAGTGATAGTGAGGATATGGACTTCGAGGGGTTTGATGAGGAGGTCCTGCTAGCCTCTGCCTCGGAACCAACCCCCCCCCATCTTCTTGTGCCCAGCCATCTCTTCTACTAACGTAAGTGTTAAATAGCCTAATACAGTGGTCCCTCAGTTAACGAACGGTTCGGTTAACGAATTACCTTCTATAAGAATCTTCAAATCGGTTAACGAAAAAAAATTTGATTAACGAAATCCTTACGAAAAACACGTTTTGTTGTGAGCATCAGCTGGTCAGCTGATGGCCGAGTCTGCCAATTCAGTAATCTGTTCTATGTTTACATTAGTTTCCAGTGGAGTAAATATCAATAAAGTTGTGCTTTATAATTTTTGCATGTTATAAATTAAAATTATTAGTCATTTTAACATTTATTAACATATTGATAATATATGCAGTACAAGAAACTTATTTAGTTGTGCTCCCTTCAGATGCGTGAGTCGATCACAAGGCATCAGTTGGGACTTTGAAACTGTGGAGAGAGCACCTATTTTGTTGGTGTCTTGAATATTTTTGCATTTTTCATAGAAATTATTGGTCATTCTGCACTTAAGTTAACACATTGATAATATATAGCGCAGTGCAGTGTTGATTTAATGAAAATAATTTTGAATTACACCTAGCAAACTTTAAATTTTATTGGTGAAATGACGGCATCAAGCATGGGTCCCCTGAAAGGTGATTTCTCCTCCATCCCCACTTCCTTCTCTTCTCCCTTCTCCTCCACCCCCACTTCTAATTGCCATCATCATCATCATCAACCAGGAGCCTTCTACATGCACACCTTAAAGAAAGTGTACTTTACTGCATTTTTTTTTACTTTGTATATACAGTAGGCCCTTAACATATGCGGGGGTTAGGTAACAGAGATACCTGTGAATGTTAAAAATCCGTGTACTTTTGCTGCCCCCAAAAAAAAACCCTGGCCCCCCATGTCCTTATTTACCATATATACCTGTGTGTAGTTCGAGTTTTAAAGACCAAATTATTTGGCAAAAAATTGGGGGTCGACATCTAAACGGGTAATAGTTTCGTTAGGTTGAAAAATATTTACCAGTAACTACCAGTAAACAATGGAAACGACGCACCAACGCACCACCAGCTGTGAGTGTCGGTACAGTTGCCAGGGCAGATCTCTTGCGTCATCATAGCAAGCCCAAAGTAGCCAAATGCATGGTATGGTATGCACAGGACGATGTAAAACATAAAGTATTCATTTTTTAAAGTTTATCTATAGATACTGTACATAAATTTTTGTTCATTACATTTGAAACATCAATCTTTGTTAATTAAATTTGAAACAAAAGAAAACTACGATACCGTATTTTCATTTAAATATTACATCACAAGTATATTTTACCTTAACTGTGACTGAATGAATATATTCTCAGAAATAAATATGGAACTGTAATATTTTGGCTGAAATGATGTACAGTACATATTACAGTGGAAAGTGGGATAAAATCATGACGAAAATAATGAGTTTTGCTTTCTTTCGTTGTTCAAAATTATTTACCGTAATCACTTTTCGAATGATTTTCAGTTTAAAACTGTTGTACTGTATTACAATAATATTCTATCCTATCATTAGCCTCATAATCCCACAACTGAAAACCATTCGAAAAGCGATTACGGTAACATCTTTTGAACAAAAGAAAGCAAAAGTCATTGCTTTCGTCACAATTTTATCCCACTTTCCACTGGAATACGCACGTCATTTCAGCAAAAATATTACATTTCCATATTCTCAGAAATAAATAGTAGTTTTGTTGAAATGTAATGTCCAGTATTTAATTTTAAAATGCAAAAACCAATAAAAACAATTAATACTGTACACCCGTAATGTACAGGCTGGCATCTCCACTCATCCCTGCTCCCGCCGGTCACCACTCCTCCCCGTGCTATCCCTCCGCCTCCTCCACATCGTCACTACTGTTGTTTTACAATAATATTTTATCCTAATTCACTTGAATAAATACTACGATACCATATTTCTGAATATTTTCATTAAAATCCATTAAAATCATTTTCTTTGTCATCGTCTTCAGCACCAAACAGCTCCTCCCAGTCCTCTCCTTGAACAGGGTTAGAGGGTACGCGTTTTTCGAATCGTTTTCAGTTAAAAAACTGTTACATCACATGTATATTTTACCTAAACTGTGCCTGAATGAATATATTCTCAGAAATAAATAGTAGTTTTGCTGAAACGTGATGTATTTCAATGTAAAATAGGATAAAATACATGACGAAAACAAAAGACTTTATCTAACCTTCCGATGTTCACGAGATGTTACTCGTTTTTTAATAGTTTTCGGTTAAAATACTGTTATATTACAATGATTTTCTATTCATACTGTGCTTGATATACTACTTTCACGGAAATGTAATATTTTTGCTGAAATGACGTACGTATTACAGTGGAAAGTGGGATAAAATCGTGACGAAAACAATGATTTTCGCTTTCTTTCGTTCAAAAGATGTTACCGAAATTGCTTTTGAATGGTTTTCAGTTAAAAAACTGTTGCATCACAAGTGAATTAGGATAGAATATTATTGTAATACAACAGTCATTGCTTTCGTCACTTTCCACTGTAATATGTACGTC